ACGGCGCGAGCAATCCCATGACCGATCGGTCTTTATCGCAGGCCCGTTATACAGGAACTAAATTCGTCGGATCGTCGCACAGCACGCAAAACCTTCGAATTCGGAAGCGGCGCAAGTATGCGAGAGCATGACCAGCGCGTGATACGATTGTAGGAGACGCGTGTACGCGTGATCGATTACACGCTGTTGTTGACTTACGGACTCGTTGTCTAAATATCGCGAAATAGAATGTATCAGCAACGCCGAATCCGGAACAATATTTAATAACAAATATTTAATAAATATTCAATATTTAATAAAATATTGAATAACAAATATTTAATAAATATTCAATATTTAATAAAATATTAAATAACAAATATTAAAAATATTTAATCAAAATAAAACGGACAAACTTGCCGCTTTATAATCCTGTACCTGTCGATCCTCCAATCTTTTCTGCTCGTTCATCTGATCGATCGTTTCGAGGCAAACACGATCTAACAAACCCGGCAGAAGAGGGTCATGTTGCGAATGCCGCAAATCTAGACTTGCCCAAGATCCTCTCGGAGTATCTCCGGAATTGGACAAATCATCCTCCTCGTTCGGTAATACACAGCCATTTGCATCTTCTTGATCTACCTAATTAAGATAAATCGCTTTCACTTCCTGCTTATCACAAATACATTAATTTTATCTCCAGCATTAGATACCTTGAAATTTTGTCTAGGTGTATCATGAAGCAATCTGTCTCTGGCGATAGGTGAGATTCTACCTTTGTATTTACGATATATTACGACCCAGTCTGAAGTAAAACTCTCAATGCATCTTTTCACATAAGGCGACACGGTATCACTGAAAGCCAAATGATCAAAATGAAGAATGAATGCCAAGTTTTAAATAACTGTATTGTAATAGCGTTTCGACTATTTTTTTTACATTGATTCGTGCGATACTACTGGCTCCTCTGTTCGAATCTTCCTCTTTACGACTCTCAATTCGACGTCTCTCGGTGGAAAATCTAGTATTAGTTTTAAAGGATCACGGTCCAGCACTGACTGATGCTGTCCCAAGAATTCCTCGTAATCAAGTGGTTCTAATACCTCGTACAGGGACATCTGCATATAAGAAATTAAATATTAATTTACTCCAAGATTATGGGCAATCTCTTTATATGCCAGTTTTCCAAAGAAAACTGCATACCGTGGAAAAAAATCCTGATACACTGCTCAACAAGAATAGGAAGAATACACAATAATAGGAAGTAGAAGTGGCAATTTGTCGCCTCACATCGGCAACATGCTGTTTGCTTAACTTGCGAGAAAACGCACGCTGGACCGAAGACATTATAAATGCAAATTAATCCGACGAGATTCTGTAACTGTTAAATGCCATATCGAAATAATACTTAGTCGTGGTTATGTTCTTAGTTGAATGTATGGTAATTGTTTTTATTTGTTGTAATGGCCTTTTAAATGCATTAATGCAGCACGCAATTATTTCTTAGTGAAATGATTGATCGACAAGTTTGACACGTACAAAAATGATGTAAGTTTAAAGATACTGCGTGTATTGTGTATGTTGCTTTATTGCAAGGTATATCAAATTTGCATAATAAGAAGGAAATAAATATGATACATTAATAATTAATGTTACAACAAACAGATATGGACAGATATAAATCTGACAAAACTGCAAATGGCTCTAGCTTTTAAATCCAAATTAATTAATCATTAACAAACAAATATGGACAAATATAAATCTGCATTAATTAATTTGGATTCAAAAGCTAGAACTATCTGTAGTTTTGTCAGATTTATATCTGTCCATATCTGTTTGTTGTAACATTAATTATTAATGTATTACATATTTATTTCCTTCTTATTATGCAAATTTGATATACTTTATTGCAATAAAGCAACATACAATACACGCAGTATCTTTAAACTTACATCATTTTTGTACGTATCAAACTTGTCGATCAATCAGTTCACTCAGAAATAATTGCGTGCTGCATTAATGCATTTAAAAAAACATTACAACAAATAAAAACAATGGGAAAATTAGAAAATAATGATTAATATTCATAGTTGTAAGAGTAGCTCGGAAATCGAGCAGAAAAAGTATAAACACGAGTATGAATAACGAGATATCGGGATGAAAATATGTACTTGTTATATCGCGCAATTACTTACGTTAATCTGAATTCATTGAGAACGGGACTGTGAATTAAAATCGCCAGCAAAAATCCACTGTAGGTTTATGAGCAAACTGTAGGTTAGGTTGCTGATTTCTTGCCAGTCTTGCCACTCGTCGTCAGCTGAGAAGTATGTGCACTTTATTGCACTATGGTGCAAACATTAAAACGAAATATTGACCTTTAATTAATTTTTATTAGAATACAGTTGTTTTCCAAATAATAAAAATTATATGGACATATTATCCAAATGATTCTGGAGCGATTGGATTAAAAAAAAATATTTTTTAAATACTTTCTGCTAATTATACGCTTAATTGATTTTAATTAATTGTGATTAATGTATGGTTTTCCAAACTCTGAAAAGTTTTTTCCAAATATCTCCAAATGATTTCCAAACGATTGGGTCAGTTAATTTTCAATAATTTTTAATTTATTTGCTAAATATACGTCGGTGAAGCACCGGCCTTAGCACGGTTGTTATTCCTTCGTTCCCTTCGTGTGTTTGCCTGAGCCTTTTTCTCGTTCTCGCGAGTTTCTGTCATTAATATCGAAAGAAAATAGTAACGCAATACGGGTTAAGTGCGCGTATCGTCGCCAAGAAAGCTTTCTTTACAGTTACCTGAAGATTCGCATCCCGGAGCGAGGAGTCACTAAAATCATGCAGAGTACTGACGTCGTTGCTCCCGTCCTCCTCTAAAGGCCTCACAAAGCCGGACGGGACGCTTTGATCCTAATCACTCCCAACCGAAAAACCTCAGGTTTGAAATCTCGTTATGATTGCTGCGATAATTCATGTACTGATTTTTTACCGCGCGGCTACGGCAGTTACGAAGTGAACAATGTGATGCTAAATATCCGCGTTAAATGTACATATGTGTGCGGGCGATTGCTGTTTCTTTTCATTGCGCGTATCCTTAGCCGGTTATGGCATTGCTCATTCTTTTCGAATTATTATTCGCGGTATTACGTGCAGTTACTCGTCTGTGTGATGTGTTCGACATTGCTTTTTCTCACGATATGATGTTCGCGTTGTGAACTACAAATTCGCATACGAGTGACCCGGTATTTTTCTTTTGCGTACGTGCGTTGTTTCTCTTCGACATTGTGACTTTGTTTCTATGCGAACGAACGTGAGTTAATTTTCCCTTACGAATGTTTCGCGTTTTTGCCCGGCGTTGTTCTCTTCATAATCTATTTACCGCATTATTTACGTGTTCACTGTTAATGATAATTCTATTCTCACCGAGATTCCTTGCGTAAGCCGTCGAGAAGATTGTGAACAGATAGTAGATTCACTACGAACAAGATATCCGCAGAATTCATATGGGCAGCACCAAATTTGCGAGATTACCGCATGGCTTTGCGATCAGCCGTTGCATGATTATTGCGATGAGACGAACAGCACGAGGCTGTGTGGGAGATTACGTGGTTACGAACAGCACGAGGCTGTGTGGGAGATTGCGTGGTTACAAACAGCACGAGGCTGTGTGGGAGATTGCGTTGTGACGAACAGCTCGAAGCTGTATGGGAGATTTCGGCGGACTGTTTTTTGATACACTGTTTCTGAGATTACCGCGACATTACTCTGATCTGATAACCGCGATTGTTGACTTACGTTACTCTGTTGATACCCGCAACTGTTTGATACACCGCTTCTGAGATTACCGCTATTCCTTTGCAAAAACCTCAGCTCAACGAGATCAACTGCGCGCTAGACATCCTTGCTCTGCGCGCCATTCATCCTTGCGTTCTACGTTCCTGTGATCTGCACGCTAGACATCCTTGCTCTGCGCGCCATTTATCCTTGCGTTCTACGTTCCTGTGATCTGCGCGTTAGACATCCTTGATCTAAGCGCCATTCATCCTTGCGTTCTACGTTCCTGTCATCCTTGCGATCTACTTTGTCAACTGTTGACATTCCTGTTTTCTATTCTTACTCGGTGCAACACAAATCAGTTAACATCATACAACATAATTCAACATTTTTGCAATGAATCAGAAGCTTTTAAAATAAAGAACTCAGTTATATAAACTTTAACTTAATACGGGTTTTGTACGCTTTGATGAAAAAACTGAGTTAAATAAACTTAATACAGTTTTGCTATGTTCATTTTAACATAGTTACATAAGATTAACCACATTATATACTCTACGTAATATAATTGTACATACGTTTGCCTCTTTTAAAATTATTGTAATTGTAAAATTATAAAAAAATAACGTTTGCAAACCTTGAACATAAACAATAAACTTATATAGTCTCATTTTTGGTTTTTCAATTTTTGATAATTAGATGTACGGATATTTCTCACTTATCTTAAAGTTCAAATACAAATGATAATATTTTTTTTTGACATTTTGTAAAGTCATCCTGTGATAATGTACGAAGCTATGTTGTTAAATAATTACAAAAAGTTATCACTGGATCAGATTTTGTAGCGTTTATAGACTTATCTGTCGCTCTTATTTCTGACAATACAGATTGCTGAAGTAATGATAAGTCATTATTCTCTTTGTTAGTATTTATACGTCGTTTCTTTTCTGCTTGCAGATATACACATACATGCATACATAAGTATATAAGAAATTGGAATATATGTATAGAAAATATTAGGAATACAATATTCATAGATTTTATAAGTTAAAACATTCATTTGAAAATTTGTCGTACCTGTATTCTTGCAGCTGCTATTCGGTATCTGTATATTTTTTAATATTTCAGATTTTTCTCTCTTTATGGACGGTTTTTTCTTTTGTTGTGTTGGTGAATAATTTGATGTTACCGATCTACGTTGATTAGAATAATCAACATTTTGTTGCTCGATATAATGTTTATCACTATTAATACTGCAAGATGCAAGTGGTTGTATGTTACTGAATGTCCTGAAAATTAATTAATTTAAACATCTTACTTAAAGACTATCATATAATAATATTATTTACGAACTTTCTACGCGTTACTGTTGGTCTAAAAAATCCTAGCAATTCAAAATACTGGTTTAACCTTAGCTTCAGCACCGCTTCCACTTGGAATATACTTTTGCTGTTCGCTTAATTTCCTGACGTAAGTATCTCGTAAATTACGCCACTTAGTATTCGCAGTACCTGGATGTAAACCTTAAAAAAAAAAAAAGACATAATATCCATATACAGGGTGCCCCTGAATTCTTGGGACTTTTTTCATGTTTAGA